ACTTCACATTTTAGTGCAAAGCTGGCAAACGATTTCTCACTTTAATGCTAAACTGATGTTTAAACTTCCTTCAAAGTTGGTCTGCAGCCTGTTCCTTCAGGGTCTTAGCAAACCGTGGACAGACATTGAAAATTAACGATGTTGTAGTCCAACAAGGTATTTACAAATCTAATGATAACAGATCAGAACTAAGGTTACATTTGTTGTATAAATAATCTGAATCTAACTTGACTATTTAATATAAATGCAACGTAAAACTCTACACCCACAAAAAAAAGATGCCAATTTATGCTGACCCAAATATTTTATAAATATACCAGATAGATGGATAGCTGAAACAGTTCTTATATTTATTACTACATTACTACAACTACATGACCTAATCCTGTCTCGATACTAAGATCGGTTCGATATATCCCAAAAAAAGCAAACATCGGAATATGGAAAACTGCATCTAAAATTTAAAATATAATCAAGCTGATAGAAACCCTCCAAGTTTAACTAATGCATTGGTTAATAAGAAATAGTTTACCATTTCTCATACTTATTAACATGTGTAAATACTGTGGCATAATGGTGTTATTACTGAAGGTTAATTCATTCAACCTTTCAAAAAAAAAAAAAAAAAAAGAAGCCATTTTTCACATGATCTTTGTTAGTATGCTTAACTAGGATGTTATGGTAAATAAAAAAATAATAATAAATAAAAAAGAAATGTTAGTCTTTAGTTTAAAAAATATATAAAAAATATTAGGTTGGTAGATGTGGATTTTTTATATATATAAAAATCCATACTATTTTTGCAGAATAATAAAATTAATAGCTTCTAAAAGTTATCCAATTAAAGAAGAACACCTTCAGGTGGACTTTTAAGGTTATTTAGACACAAGAAACACTGTTTCAACGTATTTAATCAAATGAAACTAAAGGGAATGATGAAATCATTATTTAAATTGAATATTTTTGTCTATTTATTGCAATCGGGTCAAATCTGTGGACGGTGAACTAAGCTGTTGGACCAGAGAAGGCAACGCAAGTGAGCGCCTAAATTTCCCTCCCGACCTCCAGTAAATTTGGGTTCAACTAATACTTAGTTTTGTAAACTTTAACCTTTAACTTTAATCCGCTGCAGCTGCCACAAGTAAAAAAAAAAAGCATATTTCTGAAAGGTAAAGGTATTTGCTCCCTCATTATATTGACAATTTCCTCTAAGGTTTCTTTAAAGTCTTGAAGGAATCCATCACTAATCGAGGTGGATTTGAGCGAGAAGTCAGTGAATTTTCGGCAACTACAAAGGTCAAATACAGGCTTTAAACATTTCAATAGCGTTTTGTATTTAATTTTTAGTTAAACAAGACAGCTAAAGGTAAGAATAGTAACTTACCGCCCGCTTTCATTGCAAGTAAACTGGTCTCTTTCGCAGCAGGATGTGGATGTAAAAGCAGCTTTCTAAATGTAGCGGTTATCCAATCTAATAACTGCCCCTTAAAACATTGAAAATACGTTTTTTTTACGTAGACTTATACTTAAAGTATCGAACTGGTGTAGCTGAAAATACCTTTCTCAGCTACTAGCAGCTTCCCTGAATTCAAATCCAAGCATGCGTCCTCTTTTGGACCTGCCCCTGTAGTTAGCTAGCACCGCCCGCTTGCACCGTTTAAACACTGCGTTCAATCTGATTGGCTGAGAGCGATGACGCCTCTGCGCAATAACAGCAGTCGCTGATTGGTCGGTGTGAAGAACAACGGCACCCGTTGGATAGATCATATAAATCGTAAAATAGCAGAAGCTGATTTGGCGAAGAAACGCCATTTCGAAGTACGCGCTCGCCTGTGGGACTATATGATTGGTTGATCTGAATTTGACGAAATTCCATATTTTCGCGCAGCACTTTGGGAAATGTAGTTGTGCTTAGTAAGTTTGTTTAAAGGTACATTATTTAAAGGGACGTGCGTCTACCTATTAATGTGTGTCACATTGAGAGCGAATCACACTGAATCTGCTCTTGTGACTGATTGATTCAAACTGACTGCTTTTATTGATCCCAATAAGATTATAAGGAAAAATAATTATAACATGCTTTGCTTCTTTGCCATTAAAACGCATAACAATACAGGAGATGTACAGTATTTGCCCACTTGTAGATTTAGTTTCCCTTTTAATTATTATTTAGTTGTTTGTTTTGTACATTAACAGAACAACATTTAGTTGCACAGAAAAGGTCACTTCCCCCTAAACCTTAAGAATCTTGTTTAATCCTAGGAAGCAAAAACAGCTCCTGGCAGTTATGATACCTCCACTCACCCTTTTCCATCTCTGTGGAACAACTTTGAACAACTCCTTGTTTAAATCCATTTTATTCAACCAAGATTGACATGATTTGTGGTATAAATAACCCATTTAAGACCATGCTGCTACATTTAAATTAGATGTAAGCTCAGACTTTGACTAGGGCACTCCAAACCTTTAATTTTGGGGTTATAATCTACATCTCATCACAATCGGTGAACAGCATGTCATGCTGGATTCACACCTTGCATGAGCCTGGATTTGAAGTATCGAGCCTAAGCACCGGATAGATAGATAGATAGATAGATAGATAGATAGATAGATAGATAGATAGATAGATAGATAGATAGATAGATAGATAGATAGATAGATAGATAGATAGATAGATAGATAGATAGATAGATAGATAGATAGATGATGGATGGATGGATGGATGGATGGATGGATGGATGGATGGATGGATGGATGGATGGATGGATGGATGGATGGATGGATGGATGGATGGATGGATGGATGGATGGATGGATGGATGGATAGATAGATAGATAGATAGATAGATAGATAGATAGATAGATAGATAGATAGATAGATAGATAGATAGATAGATAGATAGATAGATAGATAGATAGATAGATAGATAGATAGATAGATAGATAGATAGATAGATAGATAGATAGATAGATAGATAGATAGATACATAGATACATAGATACATAGATACGTAGAAACAGATTGATTGGGCCTTTGAAGCATGGTCATTGAGGGACTGAAATAATCAAGACCTCTGTGTTGCATCTCGTTTCTCTTGGCTGAGTAGTGTCCTCTTGATTGCAGGTCTGTTGAAAGGGGTCATAAAGTAGCAGAGTACACCAATTATAATCACTTGTTCCTTTCAGGCTCACTAGTGATTTGCACAACATCAGTTCACCGATATCATCACAAAAAAGGCCACTGACTTAACGATAACTACGTATCTGTTAAAAACTTCAAAACATGTTTTCTTAAACTGGGGTAATACATTTTTATCTATCTTTAGGATCACTAGGGGACTTAAATGTTCCTTGACTTCACACCGGAGGTACAATGTGATCAAATTATCTGAGCTGATCGCATGAGTGACCTCAGTCAGGGCAAGGGCTCTGACATTCTTAACAGATTAAATACACTGTTTCCATAGAAATGCTCATTCATCTCAAACCCTTTTTAGTGAAACCATAGACCTAATGGCAAAAGATGAACTAGTTGGTGAATTCGAACCAAATAATTATAGAGATAAAACCACATAGTTTTTCGAGTACCACACATAAAGAGGTGTCGTTGAAGATGAATGATAGTCGAACCTTCATCCTCATGAGTCATTTAATTTGAAAGAGATTTGGAAAAGAGAGTATTCATTAAAGAGCAAAAATGGCTTCTTGGAAATGATAATAATCAAAGATGATGATAAGAATTGAGTTTCCGTGACAGCGCTCTTCAATTATTACCCAGGCTCATTAAATCTAATATGTATCATCACATTTAAATAACAATAACTAGGCTGAGATGGGGTTTTAACATTATTGCAACTATGATTCAGGTTGACTGTCTGGCCTCCTGTCTACACCTGTCTTTAAAACAGCTGTCATCATATCTAAGCGGAGTTGAAAGTGAAATGTCACTTCATCCTCCCCATGAAGGTACCATTTGGAGCCAAATGCAGGAGGTAACTAATTAGATACAGATTTGTTTTTTTGCACAGATGCTGTTGATTTGGAATTTGAATAAAGCATAAATAAAGCCATCAGGCTCCAGATGGCTCCAATCCAAATTAAATAATGTCACGTTGAGCTGCCTGTTGCATCTCTCTCTCTCTCTCCATGTCAGTTGTATATAGTTCAAATTTGATAGAGGCCAAATACTGCTGAATGTTCTGGTTGGAGGCCAAGTCCTTGAGATTCAGAGGCGGATGAGTTGCTCCCAACTTGTTTCCTGTTATCTGTGCTGATGGTCAAAATCTAAATGACCACTTCCACCACTGTCTGCATTTTCCTCCATTTGGCAACTCCACCCTTGCAGACAGATGTAAACACTGTTCCCCTTCCACACCTGCATTATTTTCCCACCAGTTAAAAGCAAGTTTTAAAAATTTGTAGGCAATGCTTAAAAGCCAGGTCGGTGTATTTATATTTATATTAACATTACCAAATCTAATTAGAATAAATGCCAGAATTAAGCCAGAATCTTGTTGAAGTCTACAAAAAAGTTAGGGCTGTTTTCAATTCTTTCAGGTATTCAACAATGGTCTGATTTGTAACCTTACCTAATGTATATTCCATCCAACCTGAAAATAGAACAGTTTAAGAAGATCACTAAAACTCAAAATCATAAAATAGTTAATGGAGTGAGTGTATGTAAACGTGTGACTCTGCATATGTTTGCTGGTCCTATAAATTAGTAGAATTTTAATGTCTTTTAGGGTAGCCTGCCAGTAGGGGGAGTTATTTATTTTAGGTTGACGGGGGGCAGCCTATTTACCAAAGGACTGCATCACCAAAGAGGTGTTTCTAAAAGACACATGTGTTTATAGTTTGGGAACATAGATACAGGGAGAACTGTTATTTCTAATATGTCCACCATCTAAAAGTCTCTAGAGCTTTTAGCTCTTCCTAGTTTGTTTACAAAGTAAACAACTTAACCATTCAATACATAATAATAAGGTTTTCTTCAAGACACAAGAAACATTGACATTTATTTAATGCAATACGAACAGAAAGAGTAAAAATGAACACATAGGTAGAAATACATAATACAAAAAAACAAATCTATATACAGCACCAAATATTAGAGGGCACAATAAGCAATACATTTAGTGACGTGACAAACTGACAGCTTAGCTGTCTACAAAGAGAAGGACGTAAGTCCCTGCAGCAGAGAGAGGTAGACTTTCCCTTTAAAAATTCAGAAGGCAGAGAATAAATCATTAACTGTCTCAGACAAAAAATATATCTGGTCACTACCCATCAACTTATACTGGCACATAATAGCTTAAAAATTAAATTTAAGCATTCCTATACAAACATAATATAGTCAGTGTGTACTGTAATGTGAAAAATGCACTGATATACAAGCCAAGGCAGGAATATAATACTGTCTACCTCATTTTTCTCTATTTTTGCAAGCACTACATCCTCCCAAGACGAATACTGATCTTACTTTCTTTCTGCTCCTCTGAGTGACAAGCTTTAGCAAAAATAAAGTTTAATATAAAGTGAGAGGTTCTTTTTGATCATTTTTCTGTTCAGCTCATTACAAACAATGTGTTGTTATGTATAGAAAACAATAGAGGCACAAAATCCCATTTTTTTTCAAAGGGCCTCCCCTAAGTGAATAGATGTGAGGGTAGTTCACACACAGGCTGCGAAGGCAGTGGGCTTGTTATGCCATCATCCAATCTAATGTAATGTAATTTTAGGTCTTCTGCTTTGCCTCTGTGTTCAAAGGAACCCGTTGCTCTGCACAAAAATAAACTGACATATGTAATGAAAAAAACAAGAGTAAGAAACTGGTTTGAATTTATTAAATTTTGCATAAGGCATTAGAATAGATTCAGAGAGGAGCTGCTCTAGTTCAGCTGAAACTGTCACTAAAACCACCAGTGATGCAGCATATAGCCTGTTAAATAATTACTTTCTTTTCAGGGTGACTGAATCTAATCTAGCTGCAGGCATGCCACCATGTTCCCCCATAAATCTAAAAAAGCAAACACTTCCAAGATCTTAAGCTTGACCACAACTATTATTCAGTCCAATCGTGGTCAGGTTAGTATGCTAAGCTAGATTAACAGTAAATGAGCATCATGGAAGGCAGGCAAAAGCCTGTTTGCAATCGGTAGGCTGAAGCTTGAGAAGGCCTGTGGCTCTGTAAGCTAACTGCTCCACCTCCATGTATAGACACGTCTTCTCCAGCAAGCATCACTGAGGATCAATGCATCTTTAATCAATAAAGGTCCTTAGAGATCCTGCAGGGTAAGGTGAGTCATTCACGTGGAGACGAGCAGCGTGTATCCAATTCGTTCTGTTTACATTGCAAGCATTCCTCCTTTCATTTCACCTTTCTTTTCTCATTCACGTTACATTTTGTCACAGGGAGCGTTTAAGACACAAATAAAATAGCCTTGGGGATTCCATGCATTCACTGAATGCTATTAATTACAAGCAGACTGAGAGAAAATGCGTGGTAAAAGGAAACCCCAGAAATTATCAGAGCCTAAACATTAGCAGCAGCTTTGTGCTCTACTCTGACAAAGGTTCTTCCTTCCAACTATAAAAGAGACCTTATCGAGAAAAATTAGAAACAGATTTCTTTTTCATAAGTTTAGATGGAAATGGGGGAATGTGAGAGAGCTTTTTTCCATGAGAATTTGCTAAAGGCACCAAGCGGGAGGGGCAGTGGAGGAGCAGAATAAGTCAAAGTGCCCCTGCAGTGGCATGTCCCCCTCCAGCAAGTGTCCTTCAATAAGCACCTCTCATAGACATAAGGCTGGGTGTACCCACACATTTAAAGAAAGGCAAACAGTTAAAAGGTCAATGCCCCCCAAAAAGCAACAAAAGGCTATTTAAAGTATACCTTCTTTGCCGGAGATAGACATAATGTGCAAAGCTTTATTTCCTTGTCCGATTTCTAAAGAAATCTCTCATCCAAACATTGATCTGAGCCCAGCGGGTTCCTCTGCCTTCTCCGGCTCATCATTGGCACACATGCCAACAAACATCCTGCCAGACTCAAGTTCCACTCTCGTTGCATATAAAAAGACCCTCGCACATTGCTGCAGTGTCACAAGACGAGTGAATGACGTTGGCGGGTGACGATGGCGCGCTGCTCTTTTGGCTGAGTATTAGGTTCCAGTCTTTGGCCCACTTCTAGCCTCTTGAAGAATCACCTGTCCCTGCGAGAGGAATCCTGTGACTGACGTTCCATATGACGGCAGCAGTGACTCCAGCAGCAGTCCTGGATTTCGTGTTGGATGTCCTCAAACTCAAGAGGGTCTCTCATGCTTGTAAATATGCAAGTGGTGGCGAAATGCATTATGTTGTTGTGTGTTTCTGTAGTGCTTGTTTTGACACAAGACACCCGATGACCAAAAAGTATTTAAAGAATCGTGATCCCAAAACCTTCTCTAGACCAGAACTACTCTTCTTTGGCTACGATTTCTTGACCCAAGCTATCTCTAAATCTGTGATAAATATTGGAGGGCATTTGGTACTTGTTGAAGATAATGTGAGGGCTTTTTTGGCCAGACCTTGAACACAGTCAAACCCTTGGTCTAACTCTGTATTAGGTTCTACTAATTGCTTTCCTCTATGTGCTTCACAAGGGACACTGCTCGGATGCCAGAGACTCTCCCTCCTTCTTTTTCCTTCTCTTCTTTTTGTGGAGAGTCCAGCATGCTGTTGCCATCATCAGCAGCACAATGCCCATGACAAGTAAAACTACAGATACAACTTTAGTCTGTGGAAGGTCATTGTAGGTGTAGGTTACCCCTGTGCCTGCAATCCCTATGACCAATGAGATGATGCCGAAGGGAAAGATGCAGCGGTACCATGACTTCTCCATGCCTCCTGTAGCTTGAGACAGACGCTCCAGGGAAGAGAGAACTTCAGGGACTTTAGCACCACCAGCCTCCAGAGACAGGCTCTCCTGGGCAGAGTTTATTTGGGGCTGTGGTTGGCAAGCAAATTGTCCCGTTGTACAGCCCATCCTAGCTGTGGGTGCAAGCCGATCCGACCGAATCAAAAGGGCTGATCTTAAGCACCAGCCTAGAGAAACAGGAGATAAAAAAAGAAGAAAACCTCTAAAATAAGGACTGTACAAGACAGAGGAAATTACATGAGCTGTAATTCCTAGAACATATCATATAAAGGCTTCTGAAATCCACTCACACGCTCCTTCCTCTCTCCTTTCCTCTCTGGCGATATCGCTCTGCGCAGGCTGCTGGCTCTTCGACAGCACATTGTACACTCTGCACATAGTAGTGCCAGGGAATATATTTAAACCACAGAGGGAATGGGAGGAGCTAGGTCTGGACAACTAGGAAGTCCATGAGGTACGATTGGCTTGTTTTTAGTGACATCAATTCCTAAAGAAAGGAGGATATCAGTAGAGAAACCATAGGAAGGGGGAGGGGAGAGGACTTTACAACTCCCTCCTTTCCTCATGTTCCCATCATTCACATTTTAAGAAGTCTTTTTTTCTATTTTTGTTTTTTTTTTTTACAAAAAAATATAACACTGCCAGCTGGAATTCAAATGTCTCCTGCTGATAAGGCTAAACACAGAGAGAGAAACCTTTGCTTTCTTTTATTCAATACTATAAATGTGGTAGTACACATATGCAGCACAGATACATTCTGTGTGGGAAGTTCTGCATAATCCACAATGGCCTCATAATATGCAAGTAAACAACAAAAAAGATGATCTGCAACAACAAATCAAAAATAAAAGTGGTTGAAAAGAGGCATAAATTCACGCATGGCCATGTTTGTGATCAAAAACAGGCAGCCCCCTGTTATTTTCCCACCCACACACACAGTAAGCTCCAGCTCTTTCAGTCAGTTTTTTTTCTGAATGAAGGCAACCTGGTTGTAGTTAATCCCTCAGTGTGCATGAGTCGCTTTTCTGTGAAAATAACATCAGCCAAGAAAGCTTTCTTCTCTGTGGCTGATATGCATGGAATGGATAAATACAAGGACACATCTGGATTTCTGCCTTTATCTTGAGGCATTCCTAGATTTAACGGGGCCTTTTAAAGTGACACAGGGGTTTGTGGAAATAAAGAAAGGACCAAGAAAAAAATTCATGTTTAAAAAATGTTGTTTCAACATGCAAACAACAGGAGTGTTTTGTTGAAATTGTAATTAAAAATCCCACAGCAGTACTTGTAAGCAGTGATGGACAGTAGACTACATTTTTCATTAGCGTGGTCGTAACATCCCAGTTTTCTACATCAAATAACTTGTAGCTTAACTCATTATATTTTATAGGCAGCTTGCCCTACACTGGTTGTAAGGTGTAAGGAAATGTGTAGATTCTTCTCAAACCTTAACAGATTGTTTGTGTGGCAAAACAGCTCAAATTCAAGTCAAGTCTGTCCGGACGGAGAGCATCTGAACATGGACCACATTATAAACCTTTGATTGGACAAATATTATTTGAATCATTCCTATTTTATTGGCTATTGAATCTCTAACACAGTTACAGGCAACCTCTAGAAGCTTTTCTTCCATGATGGGGCTGTTTAGCTGCATCTATCTTTGTGAAGAAAAACATTTTCCAGTGCTCAGAAGGACATAGGTATAAACATTATCAATAGTTCTGTATGGTTCTAAGAGAGAAAAGGAAAAACTACCATTTAGTTTCACTATTTCATTTGAAACAATATGTTTTGCACCTCTACCTTTCAGTACCCGCCCATTATGCATTCTCGCTTGTCTGTAATATCTCTAAACACAATAATACTCCTTGAATCCTCTACTGTCTTTTACTTGCATGTTCTAATCCAGATCATAAAAAGTCTACAGTATAAACGACCCTTCAAAATATGATGGAGATGCCACTGAAAACCTTCATACTTATACAAACTTAATTGTCATTTTGTATACAAAGAAAAATTTTGACAAACAGCTTTCCGACAATGAATGAGCAGCAGCTTAGCAGTGAAAATGAAGAATTAGACAGGGTTTTGTACAGCGTACATTACATTTCCATTTCTTTAAGTGCAGCAGTGATCAAATGTAAACAGGGTAGGAGAGACATGTAGGAGAGACATGATGCAAAAGGCATTAATAATGAAGGTTCAAAGCAGTGCAAAATAAAAATAGATATGGTACAAAATGCAGTAGAAACATTGATTTTGAAGATTCACCATATAGTGCAAGTATAATGTTATTAGTTTGATGCAGAGTCTTGATCTGTAACTGGATTAGAGTTTTCAACAGTTCAACAGTCTGATGGCAGTGGGGAAAAGCTGTTGCAGAAGCTGCTGGTCCTGCATTGAATGCTGTGAAGCCTCTTCCCAGAGGGAAGCAGGGAGAACAGTCCATTGTGATGATGTGATGATGTCTTTTTATAGAGGGGAGAGGAGCCCTGATGATCATACTGCATGATGCTGCCACCATCATGTTTCACTTTGGGGATGAAGCGTTCAGGGTGATCAGCACTGTTGGTTCTTGCCCACATGGAGTCCAGAAACATACAGGTCTCATCTGACTGGTCTCACCCCTTTTACTTGTCCTTCAACATCTTTCTTCCCTCTTTACTAACCTCTGAAGCCTTCACAAAACAGCCTTGTTTCTACTGATTTTAACTCCCAACAGGTAGACTAATAAATACAGATTACAAGTGACCAAAGGTTTTGAGTCTAATTTCTGTAAACTTAGACCAAAGAAACTTTTAGGATCGGAAATGCCTTTAAAAGGTAAGAGAAGTCCAGATATTTTTTCATTTAAGCACTCAGGGCTCATTTTATTGATGCCACGACTTTTAAAGACAACTGAATTGAATTTTGGGATTTTAGGAAAAAGGGTCTGAAAGCCAAAGCAAGACCATTCAGATGTTTATTCTTACAGTCCTGTACTATTTTATCACCTTTATAATTATTTTCTATAACTATAACCTATTACATCAAATAAACTAAATAACAAAACAGAAACGTAAAAGTGCGTGATCTTATGTTGCCCCCATTAGTACGACACAACAGACACACTGCTGATAATTAAAGGCATAAAAGAAAGAAATGAACATATTCCTAATGTTCCTCTCTAAATGACAAGCATGGCTCTGTCTGTGCAGGAAAATTGGTGTTAGGATACCAGAGGGAAAAAGGGGGATTAAACCGACTAATTGTTTGGGGAGAATATAAAACAAAACAGAGAGTTAACAAGCAGCTCACCCAGCTAAAGACGTATTCATGAACCAAAGACAAATAAAAGAGGGAAAGTACAGAATGTGTTTGTGAAGGAAAGAGGGAGTGGGAAACTGGAATCTCTAAAGCAAGAGGCATTCAGAGAGAAGTGGATTCTTTCTAGCTTGGTTTTGTTTCTCTGGATTCGTTCCTGCACTTCTTTGCCTCAGATTAAAAAAGGAAAGCCAGAAGAAAAGAAACGTAAGAAGGAATGTATGAGCTAATCTATCCAAATGTGGGAATATGAGTGAGATCCAGAGGTAGGCCTACTTCCATGGAGTTTCTTAGGAAGTACAATTTTTCCGATTTTCCCATTATGAGACTAAAATAGGCATGAGAAAATAAGGGACAGAGAGAATGAAAGTAAACTGGGCAGGGCTGGAGCACGCTGGTGGGAGTGGGGGAGCTCACTGGTGACAGCCAGAGCAAGGCAGATGCTGATGTACGCAGGTCAGAGGAAGGCTGAGCTGCATAGGCGCCTCTCCCAGAGGGACCAATGTTTGGTGTTGACACCATGCCTCCCTACATGCTCCTTCTCTCCTCTTTAATGCAGTCATTCACAGCTGTATTTCAGAGCAGCTTTTTGCTATATTTGTTGACACTTTTACTAATACCAGCTTTTTTTAACAGGATTAGTCAATAGAATTATTGTGAGCCTCTTGCTTTAAAGCAACAGGCTACCTGAGACTAAAATAGTCCTCTTTTCTAATCTTATTTCTCTTTCTCTCCTCGGGGAAACATGCGATTTCCAGCTTGCAGAGAGTCAGGTCCCTGAGCGCATCGTCTGTGACTCAGCCTGGGTGTGGGTGTCCCCTACGTTTGTGTGTGTGGCAGAGCTCAGACACCCACGCCCTGCTGTGTGAACCCAGCGCCACCTGTCGCGGAATCTGCCACAGCCCCTGCTGTCCACACGTCATAGCCTTCACATTACACTTAAGACAGGCAAGAAATGGAGAGATTTCATGATAAACATATAGTGCTGGACCCATATGGGCTGAGAATGTTTATACGTAAAACATAATGTGGAAATGAAAAACATATGGTGAAACATGAAGCGTAATGGTGGAGGTGCCTTTTAACCTTATTCCACTAGCCTGGGTGCCAGTCCGAGCTTAGTCCCGCCCACAAGGTTTGAGTTCGGGGAAGTTCGGTCTGGCTCTGCTCCATATTAGCGCGAGTATTATCGCCCACTGTTGGGCGATCCAATCAAATTGTCAGGGCGGGCTTTATACGATGATGGACAGATGATCAAGAGTAACGTAATCAACCACGTGACCAAAGCGCGCTTGGGTGACAACAATAATGGCTGCCGCTGGAGAGTTTGGGTGAGTAGATCTGCTATTAGGTCTGTTCTAGAAGATATCCACAGCCAATTAATTTTAAAAGAGGAACAGAGAAACGCGATCAAGTCTCATCTTCTTATTCTAGGCGTGAAACTGCACGCTTTGATTTTTGTGGACAACAACTATGCCTCGCTTAACATACGTCACACACTCCGTTGCTCTTATTGGTTGTAGATCTATCCAATTGAGTGCAGAGGCATTTTTTTTCCTGGTTCGTTCGAAACACGCCCCATAATCACAGCTCTATGGAGCAGTATCAGACTCATATTCTGACTAGAATTGAGTCGGACTACGTCAGGCTATTATTCCACAGAATACACACATTAAATAAAGCCAGACAGCAGGAGGTTAATGTGTATTTAGCACCCCAGTATAAACCTGTTAATCAGGAAGTCTGACATCCTATTGTTAATCAGGAGCATGGACTCAGTCCATTCACAATATGCAGGTTTTTGATTGAATAATTCCTACACTAATAACATTTGACACTATGGAGTGATGCCAGTGGTCACTTCTCATGTTGAGTGCCATCTGCTGGCAGAGCAGGTAACTGCAGTACACAGCAAACACTTTAATAACCATGACAAAATTCATGTTATCTGGGATTTTATGTGATAGACAAAAAATTAACCATGGAATGGAATGAATATATATTCACCCAATGTACTCTAATATACCAAAATAAAATCCAGTGTTGTCACAGTTTCTCAATTAAGTTAGGCCTTGACTTTGACTAAGCCATTTTAACACCTAACTAAGCTTTGACTGTAAACCTTTAAGCTGTAGCTCTGGCTGTATATTTAAATCAGAGCCAAAACCAGATAACACAGGAACACTTAATTTATTTTCATGTATCCAAGCAGCTATTCAGAGGAAAACAGGATGTAAACTTGTTCCTTAACCATTTAAAGGGCAAGTTACTATTTTTGATCACTTGCACAGGTCTAGAAGCACAAAATCTATATCCAGCTATTCAGCAAAGATGCTGCTACATGGCTGGACATCTTATTTTGGCATTTGACTAATAGGATGAGCCCTTGAATGATACATTACCTACTGGTAAATAAGTGTAAAAAAAAAGTTAAGTCATAAAAAAAAGGTAAAAAGCTAATTGAAAAGTTAAAAATAATAAGCCTAGTTAAAAATTATATTTAGGCTTATAAACAAAAAAATGTAAGTGCCTGTATCTGCATTAATGCCTCTAAGGTTATTTTGGACCCCAAAAAAATTTTTGGTTTTTTTTTCACCCACATTTCTCATAGAAGCATTTTTGTTATTTTTCTTAATTTATTCGGGCAAGTTGGCATTTCTTGTTATTACATTGACTTTCATTCTTGCGATCAAAATATCCATATTTTTTTTAATGTTACTAAGGTAATAAGGTCTTATCCTGGATTCCAATAAAACTATTGGCTTGAAATTTGGATTATTTCACTGATTGCCATAGAAAGGGTTAAGTACAGATCTGTTTGCCAATGTTTTTAGGTTAGCAAAACTGGGCATCCTATAATTACCATGTTTAAATGATAATAGTTATTTCTTGATATGACAAGTTTCCATGAAACCTAATGTTTGGGATGGCTGTTGCAGAGGAATACATAACATGCCTTAAAAGTATTAAAACCTTTTGAATCTGAAATTCTATCTCAGTCAGCTTACAACTTTCAGAGGATTTCATAAGTATTTATTTATGCATATAAAGAGAAATCCAAACATGATTTACAGATATTTGGCAAGTCAAACCTTAATTAATTAAAAACTAGTTCTGCAATTTTAATTAATCCCCCCTAAATCAGTATCCTTAGAATCAATTTATGTTGCAGTTCATCACAAATCAAATGCAAAACGGCTCAAACTCAAGTAAGAACAGATGGAGACCATCTGTGAGCTGACATGTCTTGTAGTTTCTGCTTTAGGAAAGACGTTAAACTCTTACAGACACATTAAAAGAAACTGGACCCTGGTTTCATCTCTAGGTCATCTGTTGTATGATCAGAGGAGAGGTGTAGCACTGATGCGTAACAGAAAGCTCATCAATAAGAGCTCAGGCACTTTCGTTCACCAGGGAAACTTCAAAGGATATTTTAATAAGATTTACTCCCATTTTAATTGGTTTAATTGATCTTCTAATAATTAGAGTGACTCTTCTCCTTTCATTGCACTGCTGTTGATTCCTTGTGTAAGTTTTTCTGTTGCTAAGCTTTTGACTGTTTACTCCCAGTGGTACAATTTCAGGAATCATTCATGCTCAGAGTCCTGAACAATAGCAGTGAAACGCTGCCCTCCTTCCCCCAGCAGGGAGTATAAGTCTCTGAGCACACTGGGGCTGGGACATCCAGGTCCAGGTCTGATGGAAGAAAGATGAGGGGATAGAGTGTCCAACAGCACCTGACAAACAGACGTAGAGTCTATAGGATCATTCATGGCTAACAGTAAAAAAAAGAAATTATTAGAGTGTTTTCACAGTTAAAACGGAAACACCATCTTTACCTGTTCAAGGTAAATCTCTTGTTGCAGCAGTGCCACTCTCATCCGCAGCCTTTCCAGCTGCTGGAGCTCCTGCTCCGTTCTGTAGGTTATGGTGATGGGCAGAGGTGAAGAGGACCCATCTCTGAACCCACCAGTTGTCTCAGACGGGCAAAGACAGCCTCCTTCTGGCCTCCATCGATCCCATGCTTTCCACTCTGACGGAAAAACCAGGTTATTTTTAGAGCGTCAGCAACCGTACCCCAAGATTTTTTTCTTTTTTTTCGCTCTGCAGTCTCGGCTTTAAATAAACAGACCTCTGCTCAGCCACCACCAGGGAGAGGCTTTAAAATCCTGCTGTCACAGGGTAGGGGGGTCATGGATGAAGCCAAGCAAAGCACTGATCTGACACCAAGGTTTTATTGAGGGTCTGTTTTCATTTTCCACATGCTAAGGCTGACATCCACATTAGCTCGTTAGCGCACTGCCCATGGTAAAACCATCCTTCAAATGATGGTCAAATGACACCACCTAAATCCCTCTAAAATGAGATGAAACTAAATACTGTCAGATCTATTGCATACATTCAGCCCCCTTCACATAGAAGGTGTTGGATCCTAGAATTAACTGGAAACGTCTCCATCATGCTGCCTCTAACAACATATTTATCACAGACTGATAAACAAACATCCTTCCCAGAAAGTAATGGGATCATTCAAAAGGTTCAAATGATTAATCTGTTGTTATTTACACAATAACATTTTTAGGTGATATTTTTTTGAAGCGTTGCTGTAATATTTTTACAGAATTATCTATTTTTTAAATTTCTAAAATTCCTTAAAGGAGCTTATTGGTTTGAGGACATTTAAAAACTGTAATTTGCTTCTATTTTCTTATGCAATCACAACTTTTTCCTGATCGATTTACCTTAAAGCCCATATTGGTGCAGGACTCACTGCAGGTATCAACTCTGACCAGCTTTAGTTGACTTGTCCATAGAGATTTATTATTTTTTGCTCCTTCTAGGATTACTGTGCACATTTTGTATCGTTCATCTCTAGAACACAAAGCCTCTCTCCTTCCTAAACAGATATAATATCTATGCATGAAAATGACTTAGCCACTGATTTATTTTGAATTAACAGATTTTTTTTTATGGAAAGCAGATTGTTTGAAGTGTTGTTCAAAAACGCTCCAACAAACCTGCCTCCAGTTAATCCAGATCTCATGTATTAACCCATTAGAAACTTTAAAAGTCATGACATCATTATTTATGTTTTCTAAAGTTATATCAGGACATATTACCAGAAAATGCAAACTAAGGATTTTCAGTAACATTAGCAAGAGATTAAAAAATGATGTGTCTCATGATCCTGGCACATAAAAACTTATATTACTTATCCTTATAAAGTTTACATAAATATCTATTTTTAGCTGGATGCTGAAATAGTTCAGTGCTGTTACACCTATTACATTAAAAGTACTGAGATCAGTATATGCACTTTGACAAAATGCAGATTTCAGATGATAGAAAAATTCAATTTCCAACTGGCACTGCCATATTTACTCATCATATAAGATTTTTTACCTTGTTTCACTTTATCTGCAGAAAGGTGGAGTTTTGCTGCTGTCAGCTGCAGCTGCTTAAGTGTAGGACAGGAAGGGGACTTGCTCTGCTCCTCACCTGTGGAGGATGATAATAAAAAGCAGGTTTAATTTGACAGATGTGTTGCCAGGGTAGAGCAACACTGCTGCAATTAGCACTCTGCTGGCAGGTTATGAAGGGCTCATAATAGCCGAAATAATTGGAGAGAAGCCCCAGCTGTGTTTCAAAAAAGGGAAATGCTCAAAACTAAACATCAATTGATCTAAAACCCTGGAAATAGTCGATTTCTGCCAACTGTGGTGTGGTTTAACACAGATATCCACACTAAGATACAAATCTCATCACTCCATTTCATTTCTACTCATTATTGCACTCTTGGTTTTTATTGCTTGTATTTCTCACCCAGGAGCTCAGCGTCCGTTTCTAGTGGCTGCTTGATGAGAATCTCCTCGGTCCGATAGAGCTGTGCTAGGCTGAGTCCTTGGTCAGTTATGCTGTGGAGCAGAAACCTGGTCTCATCCGGACTGCCACACGGCCAATTATCAGGAAACTAGAGGGGTCAGAGTAATAGACGGGGAACCAAGTGAAGGACGATCAGTGTTATAAAACTACAGCACCGGTCACAATCCCTGAACCGTTCCACATTAGAGAACATAAGAACAAGATCCTTCACTGCAAAAATTATCTAGAAATAAGCAAAAATGTATTAAATTACGGTATGTGCATTTACCCTTTATTTGAGTAGGTAAATAATATGATTTGCCAATGGAATGAGTATTTTTAATCTTAAAATAATATAATTAGATAATATGCACTTGAAATAATATTTTTCTTATTTTAAATGTAAATTGTCTTGTACCTTTGGCAAAGTGTCTCACTTCCTCAATTCAAGAAAAAAAAGCACCTAAATGTATTATTTAGTTTTACATTTGTCTACTTATTCCATATGTTCTATTCTTGTCCACTACTTTCTTGCTTTTTGTTGAATTACTTTGATACCATTGCAAAAATACTTTCTGTGGTTATAAAAGTCTCCCCCCACGTTGCCATATTTGGGCTCCTAGAGGACCACAAGCAGTTTACTTCTAACCAATTATCTATCTTAGCATTTACTTTATTATTGGCAAGAGGCCGCCTTCTTTTACACTGGAAGTCAACTAAAGCCCCTCCCAGTACCCAGAGGCTCAATGACACCATGTCTTTTCTGAAGTTGGAAAAGATCTGATATTCAGTGAAAGGTAATCCTGATAAATTTTATGACAAATGGCTTCCCTTTCTTACATTCTACCGCTCCCTTCAGTCCCTTCCCTCTGACTGATTTTATTTATTTTTTATCTTTTTTTTTTCTTTTATTGATTTCTTGGGTGTCTTTATTTTATACTAATTATAGCTTAATTTATTTCCTCAGCTTATTTATTATTTCGCTCTATAATTGTTTTTTATTTAAGTTGTTTTGCTAATTTTTTATTTTTTCAGTTGTGTGGTGTACTGTTCGTACGATTTAACTAACAAAAACACCCTGGGAGATCGATAGTTTGCGTTGTCCTCAACTGTTCGAGCTGCACAATATTTTTTACGATGCCGATATGTAAATGTTGTTAAATACTGTTACCCAATGTGAAAAGGATGTGCACATCGACACACATCTCTACTGTAATGTGCATTGCTTCCTAATAAAAAAAAAAAAAGAGATTTATATTTGTTTTAGTGCACATCGGACAATGCAAAGTAGATCATAGCTAGAAAATATATATGGTTCTTGATTTATTGTTTTTGCAAACCCCTATAAATGCCCTTTGTTTCTGTAATTTAAACATCCTTTACCCAGAATAGCTCTAAATGAAATTCAGTGCAACTAATCACACTTAGAAGTTACTTAATTGAAAGTAAACCTATAAATAAATCATTAATAAATGAATAAATTTAGCTTTTTGTAAAGGCCTCAGAGGTCTGATAGAGGACAATAATGAACAAACAGATATTCTCATGATAAAGGAACACAGCAGGACCCTAAATAGGCAACCAGAGAGCTAAGATGGAATGATTTGAATCAAAGAATGTTTACGTGTTAAAATGGCCCATTTAAAGTAAAAAAAAAAAAAAATAAACCTTCTCAGACGTCTCCTTTTTGAAGATATTTTGAAAAGAAAAGGACAAAAATTTTGTTTCTAGATGAGCAAAGACATTCTTCCTATTACTGACAGCTCTAAGGTTGATGACGGATGGTTTTAGTATAAGCTCATTGAACGGCACATTTGTTTATTTTGTGTAATTCTTCTTGTTGCTTTGTAAATTTAAATCCTAATGAAGTTCATTGACATGTGCCATTAAATTATTGAAAGGTTCAAAGGGGTATAAATATTTTCGTAAGTTATCATGTATGAATTAACCGATTTTAAAAAGGAACATTTGAAAATTTAAAAATATATTTAAAAGCAGAATATACCGTAGCCCTCATTCTCTGCATGAAGTGACTCCTCCCAGGATCAGGCTTCGTCTGTAGGGTCATCACTTTCTCCCACAATCTAGAGTTAAAAGACAGAAAGAAAAGTCAGATATCAGACAATAACTCCACACTTTGCAATAACATGATACAATAAAAAAAAAACTGTACTCAGCAACCTGTTTTGTTTTCTCCTCAACAATTTCCATTTTGTAGTTTGTACAGAAAGTCCCCTGCCCCAAAGCAAAACAAAGCAATTTTATCTCTTTAATTGCAAATAAAAAACATGATTATTTCCACAGCCCACTTGTGTAGAACCTACCCACTCTGTTGATGCAAAGTGTCAACACCAGACCCATCTGTCCCTGAAAAGGACACTGTATTAACTGAAGAAGGCACGGCTTTGCTCTGGGCATTGTCTCTTTGCAGATTGCTTCTGACTGTCTTGTTTTTAGGCTGCAAGGCTGTCATCTGATCAGGGGAGGCAGATCCTGCCAATACAGCCTGCTGCAATCTCCTAGCTGCCTGGTGATTTCCAGCCCCAGCCTCTAAGCAGGGATGGCGCTGGATTGGGTTCTTGGACTGTCCTGGTTTGTGAACCACTGAAGGCTTTGAGCTAAGTGACACATTAGACTTTTTGTCCCTTTTCCTATGAAGGCTGACAGGTTTTTTGATTGACTTGATGGTTGGTTGAACATCTTTAGTCACTGTGAGTAGAGCTGGTATGTTTTCTGTTTCTTTAGGAGGTGCAGATAGCTTGCTTCTGCTGCAGTTTTGTTTAGACACCTCTGAGAAGGTCCGGATCCGGAGGGCTTTTTCCAGTGCTCGCTCAAGCAGCTCTATATCTTCGCTCTCTGCTTTTGAGGACTCTGCATCTGAAAAGGGCAGCATGCAGCCACAGTTAAGTTATTTCAGGAAATAACTGTGTTGCATGATATAAATGATGGTGTTTTTTTTTTAAACTAAAGAAAATTCTTTTTTAAAAGGGGAAAATGCTTCCAGTACTATCAGTAATCATCAAACTCTGCCTTTTTTAAATACAGTTACCTGCAGCAGCATCTTCTTTTGTATGTGTTACTTCAGTGCCTTCCTCTGCTTGTGGTGTCCTGGGGGGTAAATAAGTAACTAAACAGTTATTTACCACTAACAGAGGTAGAAAACAACATAAAGGATTAACAACTAACAAAAAAAGCAAAGGAAAATTATAATAGATATTAACAGCTCCAATGCCTTTACATTTATTTAACACGGGTTTATCAAAATTAAGATGTTAGTATATATCTAAAATAAAGTTAGGTTTGGTTACAAGGTTGGATACTGTAGACTTTCCTCCAGTAACAATCTTAAAGAAATCCCATAGCAGCTCATGCCTAAAGTATATGTTTAGGATAAGAGATTTTATTAGTAACACAGAGTAATTTGACTTTTTAAAAAGTTGATTTACTAAATACAACTCATAAAAAAATTTAAAAAAATTTGCCACTGTATTTTTATGTCTATAAAAAATATGGACTCTGGTTTATCTCTTTTCTTTTATAGTAATACTAGAAAAAGAGCAAACACAGGAAAGAAAAAAAAACAAATGCAGCAAAAGGCACTGCTGGGATTCGAACCCAGGATCTCCTGTTTACTAGACAGGCGCTTTAACCAACTAAGCCACAGCGCCAGATACGCCACTTCCCCAAAATGGCAGGATAAAAAGGCAGAAAAGTGTCAGATATTGTGTAACTGTTCTTCATGTCTTTAGTGTACTAATGCACAATTATGAAGAATACTACTCACAGGCTGTTTAAGATTTCCTTGAAAAGTTGAATGCTGCGGTTTAGTTTGGCTTGTTCGACCTTATATGTCTCGATAGCGTCCTGAACCGCAGACAGCAGAGACATGCTTCTCGAAAGGCTCTGTCGGAGATATTTGTATAAAAGCAAAACTTAAACATCTGGATCAGCGATAAGAGATAACCGTGTGTACAACTTTTGCGAGATATAACATACGATAAACACGCAGGTTAAGGAAAATTCTTCACCCGCGAAAACACACTTAACGGATGCGGAAGCCAAGTTTTACCTGCTGCTTGTTAAAAAGAAGATTACATCAACATTTTCGAGGGGGAAAAAAATCGTAATTCTACAGTTGATGTGTGATTTTATACATGAAAAACAAAACAAAATTATGATATAAATAATAATAATAAATAAATAATATACTTTTCAAAGGTCTTAATTTCTCAGTTCTCGCGAGAATTGCCGTGGCAACTGGGGACGCTGTTTGTGTAAATGGATTTAAACCATAAAGATGATGTTTTCACTCTGTAACTAAGAGCAAAATTACATATTTGTAGTTGTGGATTTGTTTCTTCGTTTAAGTTTTATATCATTTTGTAACGTTTGTGTCTTTTACGGATTTATTTATTTGTAGATATACTCTTAGTGTTTTTTAAATGGGCATGGCGCGCTCTTAAAAATAATTATATAATTCATTTGCTCTTTTTAGTAAATCTGAGTGTACCATTTTAGACAACTGGCAAATATTTTCCCCCTTACTCTTTTGTTTTTTTCTGTAAATTTGCCTTTTTTTGCACACTCTCACTCTTTCTGTTTTATATGTTTACAATCTGCATGTTTCAACTTGCTTGTTTGCAAAACTATCCTCTAGGGAGCAAGAAATTATATTTCTATTATTCTGTTTAACATTATTACAAATTGATGACAGTTGCTGTTGCCAAAAGAGTCCCAAACAGTTAATATGTAATAGAGTGATTATTTTTTTCTTCCCATTAAGCCATTTCTTTCTCCTGTTAAATAAAATTATATTCAATAAAGTTATCTTTCTCTGATTTCAAAATCTGATCTAAAATATTTAAGTCTGATAAAAAGACAACAAAAAGAGAAGCATGCAAAGGAGGAAATATGTTTTCGAAGCTACTGGTATTTTTTATATTAGTAGATATCAAAAGCTCTGCTAATGCTGCATCACGGGAAAGAATGGGTGTTGCTAATCAAAATAAGCCATTCAACAGAGTGCTTAGTACTGCAGGACCAGGTAGAGTGTATGGAGACATAATAACTTCCCAATCAAAACTTTTACTCCAAAGAAATCCAAAGCAGTGCTGCCAATTTGACCTTAAATCAAACCATTGTACCTGTGGGGTATATTTAGAGGGATTAACTAATAGAAATAGAAATTAAGTCCTACAATCGCAAATTGAAAACATCCATCCTTTACCCCTGCCTTTCTGCTGTATTTCATGATGCTGTATCCTTTATATGCTCTTTAACAGACCACTGAAGCCTTCAAAAAACAGCTTGCTGTGTGTAGCAGTGGGCTTTATTTCACATTAAGGGTCGTTTCTGAAGGTGGTTTATTATGCTAGATTGAATTCTGGAGTATCAGGGTAAAAGGAGCCCAATTATTAGATTTCAATCTGTAAACAGTCTCCGAAACTGTGTGTCATATGGTTTCCACCTCACTCTGACGTACCACTTGTTCCCGTTTCACATAAGGTTGGTTTTCCAGTAAAAACAAATTGACATTTCTGGTGCAACAAAACAAAACCTTTTAGATTTAAGAGAGTATACATTTTTCTGCAAAGCACTGTACTTCAAAAAATGCCTCAGTGGAATAAATAATGTTCTAAAAGTGTTTTTTTTTTTCAATAGCAACAGCTTGCTGGCCCAACTGGCGAGGCGTGATTCATCCTGTTAGCTCATCTCATTCCCGCTGGCCTCCTGTGGTAGCAGGGGGTGGGGGAGGCACCCCTGCTGCCCCGCTAATAAAGCATCTGACACTCCATCCTTCCACCAGACTGATCTCAGGCTCCGACAGTCACACAACTACATATGCACCCATGTTCACACATGTTACACAGACATGGACACACACATGCACACACATATCTGCAGAAAACAGACAGGCATATTTTCAAATGATAGACAGGTCGCTTCAGCTTCCTGCCATCCGCTCCTTAATCCTTGCAGAGCATGTATTATTCTCATATGCACAAAGACTAGAAAAAAATCACTTTTTAAACATAGATCTGTATAAGTTGTTAGAGAGAGATTAGTTATTTTTATTAGTAAAGCAAATGTAACACAGTGCTGATTTGGTCATTTGTTTTCACTTTCCTAATGTATACAATATTAATCAATTTAAAATGTCAATAATCTCAGATGAAAAAAAGTTAAGATAATTTGCAAAACATATCGATCAAATCAATATAATCACATCACCCCAATCATAAAGAGAGATTCAAATTCAGTTTTATATGTACTAATTTGGTTCCATTATAATTGAGTGCACTCAAATTTTGTTCATAATACCAAGTGTTTAAAAGCTGTCTTATCTAATAAAGTGTAACCAATTGCAACAAATCGCTAAATTTTGTTTGTTTAGATTTGTTCTTTTATGAATGCTTTTACTTTTGTATGGAGATGCAAAATCTTCTGCTAATACAGAGAGTCTAACAATTTTATGTTCTGCCATTAAAATATCAAGTTTTTGACATTTGAAAAGAAAAAGACAGATCACAGCAGTCAAACGCATTTAAAAACTTTTCCGGTGTAGTGTGACATTTATTCTTTTACACAAATCAACTGGAAAAAAGACAGAGAAACCAATTCATTTATTAGAAATAACAAAAATGCAAAAAAAACAGCAGTATTCGTACATTTACATATACATTCTGATTTTTAAAAAACAACAAAAGAACATAATTTGTTCTTTGGAAGAAGTCTTTCTGTATCCTCATCCTTAATTGGCAATATATTTATTTGCAATTGCTTCCAGATCTGTTGGATTATCACAACATCTTTTGTCCCTTGTCCATCTGAGGTAATTTATGGTCAGAAATAGTTCTTGGCTCAGCAAAAAAAAACTAAGTTTTTGAATAGCCTTCGAAGCCAGTCTGTTGTTGCTTAGTGTGAATGTTTTGATTCAGTGTGAAGCAAAAACATGGGCTGAATCTTTGTAATACAGATACTACATATTACAATCATAATTATCAATGTTTCAATGTCAAATCCTTTTTAGAGTGTTATTATGAAATAGGCACAAAAGAAAAGTAGATGGTATTTTGCTTGTAATTTCTTTGTAATTTCTTCGTTCAACATCTGCAACTATCTGTTGGAGATATTCTACCAGTCTGTGGTTGCCAGTGTCCTCTTCTACACTGGGGGAGCAGCACATCCAAGAAGGACACCTCCAGACTGAACAAACTGGTTAGGCAAGCCCACTCTGTGATTGGCAAGAAGCTGGACCCTCTGGGGAGAGGCAGAGACAAGGACACTTAACAAACTGCTGTACATTATGGACCATGCCGGCCACCCTCTGCACATGATCTTCACCACTCAGAGGAGCCTGATCAGTGGGAGATTGCTCCTCCCCAAATTCAGGACTGCTGAACTTCTTTGTTCCTCAAGCCATCAAGCTGTACAACTCCTCAATTAGGGGAAGGAGCAGGTGATAGGAAGAGGGACAAGGGTCAGCACTCCTTGGACATCTTTTGCAAAACATTAAATATTGTTACTCGTGCAATATTCTTCTCTCTCCTTATTTATAAGGTCAGTACATCTCTGCAGTACAAGTGCAATAATCCAAGTCCACTACTATATAGTCTTTCCTTAGCTTTTTATTGTGCAGATATATCTATATATCTGCACAGATATATTTATATGTAAAGGAAAGATATTCCAGGATATTAAGACTTTTCTAATTTCGTTTTTTTTTTTCTGACGTCATACACATGCCGCTTTGTTTTAAAAAAATAAAAATATAAAAAATATAACCGCGGACGTCTGGGGGACAGTGATTCGCCTACTTGTTATGAATGCTGGCGTACCATAAAGACCAAATTATGAACAGTTTAGTTTGTGCCTTCAACTCGTTCGCTCATAGGAAGACGTTACCTGGATATAACCTAATGGAATATCTTCAGAACGGCTCCAAATGAAGTACAAATACTTTGTTACCTTACTTAATTAGAAATTTTGGTTATCTATACTATACTGGAGTAATTTTTTTTAACTCTTTACCTCTACTCCTTACATTTTTTTTTGCAAATATCTCTAATTTCTAACATTTTAATGATATACTCATTAGTTTTGTTTGATTTATTTTTATTTTTGTTTATTTTGTTTGTATTTAAAAAAATAAAAACCATCAAAATAATTTTGTTCATCCAGACAATTCATGTCTTTGTGGTTGAAATCGGTGCTGCACCAACTTGTTGTTCATTACATACCAAAATAAATTGTTTTTTCAAGATGATGCAAAGTTAAATTTGACAGTCACCATTAGTTATAAACTAAGAAAATTAAGCATAAGGAGGTTATCGAGAATTATAGAAAAAATTTCTTTAATAGGGTAGTGCAGTATAAGGTTTAAAGCGTCAGTGCTTGACATTTTTCCTGCATTACTTCTACTTTTAATAGAAGTAATGCAGGAAAGTAGTTTTAAAAATGGTACTTTTGCTTTTTTACTCAACTAAAAAACTTAAGATAATACTGTAACTTATAGAAAATGATTTTTAAACTGTAGGATTTATACTTCTACTTGAGTAATAAACATTAATACTTTTGACACCTCTGGTTTCAATGAACCCCACTATGTGAGGACTAGGGTTTATGTATCTTTAAAGATTATGTTTAGCCCTTAAAAGTGGAAGTATCAGATTACAGGGATTCACTTTCCATTGAGGGAGAGGCTGCAACACACCATCATAATGCATTTATCAAAACTGCCGGACATTGGTAAAGAAGATTTGTTAAGTTTTAAATTTGTGGTGAAATTTCAGGGGGGGTAGCTTTTTAGTGGTTCTTCAAGAAAACAAAATAAATCAGATGAATGCAATTGTCTTAATTATTTGGTGATAAAAATAATTACATTTATTTAATCTAAATTGATGCAACCCAGTACATGTAGATTGGAAAAGCGCCAGTTGACTTATTAACATGTAAAACAGAGTAACTGATTTTAGTAGAAAGCAGAAAATTTGCTATTTATTTTATCACCTAAAACTACAAATTATTTTACCGGAACTATCTATTTCCGCTATCATTTCCGGTAGAGAAGCGCATGTCTGTTCTAACCGGGTAGGAACAAACACTTCAGAGTAAAGTTGTTCCGCGGAGCTTCGTATCCTGTTTTTGAATTTATAAGTCATTAGAACTGAGCTGGAGGAGGACAGGTTTGTTCTGCTTGACTGTTTTAAGACCAATAGAAAAAAAAGAGCAAAATATGTTATTACTATCAAGTTACGTTGTCACTATTTTTTAATCATAACCAATTTGTTAGCTAGCTTTTAGCTCACGTAGCTGCGAGTAAAGTTAGCTGTTGTAAAAGCGACGCTTCATCAAGTTTATGTTAGTTCTTTACTGTAGTGGAGCAGGATTGTTTCTCTAAAATATCGAAATGAAACGAGCTTCATTGTAATAGTTTATCAGAAAATTTTGAAACGCTTTTCTTTCTGCATCATAGTGACGGAGATTACTGGAAAACCCCAGAAATCAGGCCTGTTCTGTGTTTCGGTGTGTTTTTTTGTTTCAACATTTTACGCCATGCAAGCATGGATGTTGTTTAAAGGTTCCTTTGTGATCCAAAGAGACCAATTGTGTTAGCTGACAGTCAATGTTGTGCTTTCCTTTTGGGTTTAACCAAGGTCAGCGGCTTTAAGAAGGCCAATTAGCTTAATATGTGTTTGTTTTCACCAGCTTTACACTCATCACTAATTAAAAGTTAAGTTTCCATATTAAGTATTATTGCTTTTTGTCCTAATGGGTGGTCTTTAATGGGTTCTGTAATATAATGTGCATCTTATTTGATTTTAATCTGGTGCACTATGTGACCTGCAGCTTAACAATACTGACTTGCATTTATAAATAGAGCTTTCAAATAAAGGCCTTACTTTACATTACTGCAAATCATAACAATAATTTAACTTTATTGATCTCTGGGGCTGGGTATTTTCGCCATAGTTCTGAATCGGTTTGATTTTCATTAATAAAGTGCTAAATAGATTAATTTCGATTCAATCTGTTTTTACAGTAATAAAAGTGTTTCAACTGTGTTTCAAAATACTCATGTATTTTATTTTTTCCTGTCATATTAAACACAAAGTGCAAACTTGTAAATCGGACAGTTTAAACTTGAGATGTGAACAAAACTGTCTCATAAATAGAAACTTGTTTGTGAAAAGTGAAGCCTCACTCACTCAGACATGCATGAGCTGCATTATCTTCACTGCACAAACCATATTTTCGGCGTTGTCTGTAACAACTACAGGTTGTTTTCTGTTCAGCCCCCATTTGTTAATGTCTTCAGTCAACCTATTGGCTACATTTGCAGCTGTTTGGCTTGAAGTAATCTTGAGTTCATCTTTCCTGCTAATTTGAATGTGAACGTCATGTAATAATCGATCTCATTCCCTTGACGTTGATTTTGCAAAAATATAAAGGAATCGATTCAAAATGATTAAATCGATTTCTGTTACCCAGCCCTATTGATCTCACATTAGAGAAATTTATCTCTGCTTTTAACCCATCCCCTTGGGGAGCAGTGGGCTGCCATTGTGGGGCACCAGGGGAGCAATCAGAGACCCAGAGTGGCAGTGGGTTTCGACTCACAACCTCAGGATTCCAAGCTCTATGCCCTAACCACTAGGCACCACCCTAACGCATGGTGGTGGCAGCATCATGCTGTGGGGGATGTTTTTCTTCAGGATGCTAATTGCAGGCGGAAAGATGTAAATAGGTAAATAGAGGACAAGCATTGATCATAAGCTTATTAGAGGCCAAAAGCTAGACTGAACATAGGTTTGCCTTTCCCAGGACAAATCATAAATATATATACCCACAAATCCTAAGGTCTAGTTAAAGTACAGACCTTAATGCAACTCAAGGCACGACAGAAAGTAAAAAATAAAAAAACTGGGTGTGCATGTGAAAGACATGCTCCTCAACACTCAATAAAATGTGCTGTAGTTCTACAACGCATTAACTAAGAGGGTGAATATAAATGTATCTTCAAAATGTAGATTGAAATTTGTTGTTGCAATGTGGCAAAAATGCTGAAATTAACTAATTTCAGGTTGGACCAAAAAGCAATCCACCCAGAGGATGTCAGCAGAGAAGATGGAGACCAGTGTATCCAATGGATCAGGGCCAGGATATGAGAAGGAAGATAGTGACCTCAGGTAAACCCGTTTGCAATTCTGTGGTTTGCTTTCTAGAAAAAACACTACAGACTGATTCAGGTTTGGAGAACAAGTGAGTTTATCGCTTCGTTTTGTTTCTTTTTGGAATCTCCATTGCAGTCCAGAGGATCTGTCTGAGATGCTGGCTGCAGGAACCAAGGAGGTTCATGAAAAAGCAGAGAACACACAGTTTGTAAAAGATTTCCTCAGGGGACGAATCCGCAGAGAGCTTTTCAAGGTGAGGCTGAACAAAGTCATCAGGAAGAAAGTGAAGAGTTTAAAAGAGTTTTATGGAGATTTCCTCCATGATCTCTAAACTGATAAAGCTCTTACTGTTACCTCCTGCAGATAAACCTCTTATCTTCTCAGAATGTCCTCATAAGCCCTAATTAAAAATCCCTTTGAGGAATAGTTTCTACTGCTGAGTTAGACATGGAAACACTGTGTAAGATTGATGGAAGGATGATGTGCAGTTAGGAAAATAAATATCTGAACACCCTGCTATTTTGCAAGTTCTCCAACTTAGAAATCATGGAGGGGTCTGAAACAGTCATCGTAGGTTCATGTCAACTGTGAAAGAGATCGTTTTTTAAAAAATCCAGAAATCACAATCTATGATTTTTTAAATTATGTATTTGTATGATAAGGCTGCAATTAAGTATTCTATCAGCCAGAATTCAGACCCTCGAGGACTTTATTATCCTAAATTAGATGCACCTGTTTGAGGTCGTTAGCTGCATAAAGACGCCTGTCCACCACATACAATCAGCAAGAATCCAACTACTAACATGGCCAAGACCAAAGAGCTGTCCAAAGACACTAGAGACAAAACTGTAAACCTCCACAAGGCTGGAAAGGGCTACGGGGAAATTGCCAAGCAGCTTGGTGAAAAAAGGTCCAGATGGCAGGGAAGGTTCCCCTGCTTCAACCAGCACATGTCAAGGCTCATCTTAAGTTTGCCTTTGACCATTTGGATGATCCAGAGGAGTGTGGTCAGATTAGTCCAAAATAGAACTTTTTGGTCATAATTCCACAAACCATGTTTGGGGAAAGAAGAATGATGAGTACCATCCCAAGAACATCATCCCTACTGTGAAGCATGGGGGTGGTAGCATCATGGTTTGGGAGTGTTTGCATATGGGACAGGGCGACTGTACTGTATTAAGGAGAGGATGACCAGGGCCTTGTATTGCGAGATTTTGGGGAACAACTTCCTTCCCTCAGTTAGAGCATTGCAGATGGGTGGAGGCTGGGTCTTCCAACATGACAATGACCCGAAGCAAGCAGCCAGGATAACCAAGGACTGGCTCTGGAAGAAGAATATCAAGGCTATGACGTGGCCTGGCCAGTCTCCAGAAATAAACCCAATAGAGAATTTTTGGAGGGAGCTCAAACTCTTTTCTCAGCGACAGCCCAGAAACCTGACTGATCAAGAGAAGATCTGTGTGGAGGAGTGGGCAAAAATCCCTCCTGCAGTGAGTGCAAACCTGGTGAAAAACTACAAGAAACGTTTTACCTCTGTAATTGCAAACAAAGGCTACTGTACCAAATAGGTGTTCAAATACTTATTTGCAGCTGTGTCATACAAATAAATAGTTCTAAAATCACACATTGTCATTTCTAGATAATTTTTTTTTATTATATCTTTCACAGTGGACATGCACCTATGATCATAATTTCAGACCCCTCCATGATTTCTAAGTGGGAGAACTTGAAAAATAGCAGGGTGTTCAAATACTTATTTTCCTCACTGTACATGATAAAAGTAATATAAGAAAGTTGTTTATTTTCTCCTTCAGCTTGGTGCTGTAGCACTTTACCACACATACACGGCCATGGAGGAGGAGATCGAGAGGAATAAGGACCACCCCCACTTTGCCCCTCTATATTTCCCTGCGGAGCTTCACCGTCATGAAGCCTTAGCCCGCGACCTCGAATATTTCTATGGTCCAGACTGGAAGAGTCAGATCACCTGCTCCCAGGCCACGCAGCACTACGTGGACCGCATCCACCAGGTAGGCCAGGAGGACCCTGTGCTGTTGGTTGCCCACGCCTACACCCGCTACATGGGTGACCTGTCAGGAGGTCAAGTGCTGAGAAAGGTGGCGCAGAGAGCTTTGAAGCTGCCGCCCACTGGGGAGGGCCTGGAGTTCTACCAGTTTGACGCGATCCACAGCGCTAAAGCGTTCAAGCAGCTGTACCGAAGTCGCATGAACGAGCTGGACCTGGACCTGGAGACAAAGAAGAAACTGGTGGAGGAAGCTGTGAAAGCTTTTCATTTTAATATGGAGGTGAGAGTCTGTGGAAACTGGTAATCAGTCACTTGCACTAATAGATGAGATGTTAAATAGGGATTTTAGCTAAGAGCTTCATGTGAAAACAAGGCTCAGTTACTAAATGTAAGGACCAAGAATATTTATTATTAGATAAGTGAGAAATCTTCAGTGGTATTCCAGTGGAATTAATCAGAAATATACTTAGCTGAAGGTTTTTTAAAGATTTATAACCCTAGTCAAATCTATCTTTTTATTATGATTTTATTTGTAAAAAAAACTTATAGTAAGATAAGAGGTGGTTAGAAAACTCAGTGTTGGAAGTGTTCAGAATATTTTGCAAAAAAAAATCAGAGGAATTTGGTGCATATTTGTATTCAGTTCTCTTTATTCTTCTCCTAAAGCTCTTTTTAGAGGACATAAGGTTACAGTATTAGAGAAGTGAAAATCTGTGCTCTCCTTAACACACTATTACCCAAAGTGAAACACAGTAAAGACACCATTATGCTGTGTGGATGCTTTTTTTTAAGTTAATAAATTAAAGAGAATTAATACAGCTTAATACAGGTTAACCTTTAAAAAAAAACCTTAGAGAGTATAAAAGACTTGAAAATGGGACAGAGGTTCACCTTGTAGGAAGAAAGCATCCTTAGACTTGAAGACTGATGTTAACAAACACTCCCTATAAAATGACAATTTATATTTAATAGAGAGGAAAAATAATGATAAATGTGAAGGATGTGGAGAAAAAGAGAATTTAGAACATGTACTGATGAACTGTAAAACTTAGGAACATGAAAGGGAGAAATTGAGAAGAATGGTTGAAAGGACAGGCCAAGAATGGAGTCTTAAAGGAATATTGGAAAATGAAGGAAATATAAAGGATATTTACAGATTAAGGAAATCATTATTTATCTGCAGAATACAGAATAAAAAAAAAAATAGGATTGGATTGATGTAAAGCAATGTTGCTACACACATGTACAGTAGGTGGCGGCATGCACCTTAAAGTTGCCTGCGATCCGACTTAATAGAAAAGAAGAAGAACACTCCCTATCCAATCAGAATGAGCCTGAGTTCTTTTGCAAAGAAAGATGGGCAACATGATCTGTCTCTATCGACAGAAAAATAGATCTGCAGCTGTATTTTCAGCCAAAGGTTGTTCTGCATAGAAGGGCGCAGAATTGGAAAGAATGCATCATTACCCTTTGCATCACCATGGTTCTCCAACTGATGATACTTGGTTGTGTGTTGGTATCAACAATTTATAAAGTAAGCTGATGCAGAGCTAATTACCAAAAGCTGCCAACAAGATGAAATGTCAGGGCGTGCAGGTCGAGCAGCACGACCCATGCACGGAGGCCTTAAGGGCAGATTATACTTCTGCATCCGCACACATAAAATGTCGCTTGCATCTGGTTGCGAACCAGTATGGCTGGTATGCTTCTGCCCCGTCGGTCTGGAATTTCTAGGGACTCACAGCAGTTTCCCGCCAAAGCGCAAGGGGAAGCCTATTCGAGAACTAGCTAGAACTTCAGCGGATGGTCACGAGAACTTCGGCGGCGCTGGCGGGAGTGTCTTCCAAAACAACAATAGCACGTCTGCAAGGTCTCCCAGTCACGGAGATGGATCTAGAGTTTCTAGACATCGAAGAGGAACAGGTTCTGTTAATGGAGTTGGCAAAAAGACCGATTAACCTTTCGTTGTAGTTGTCCATTGTAGTTGTTCCCCAGTTTTTAAAAATGGCGCGCCCTGGCACCGATAACCACAGACAGCTGGAAAGGCATACCAAGGAACAATCACAGCTGCTTTTTGTCTGTGCGGGTTTGCGACCGTCCGATGCGTAGTCAGGATTTTATTGAGGTGCGTGACGAAGGTTGCAGAACCTTGCACAGAGACAGATTTGACGGTTGCAGAGGCTATGAGTCAGAAGCATGAATTGGCCTTTAGCCCTTGTTGTGGCCGATCCGGGTTCGAATCAGACCTGTAGTCCTTTGCTGTATGTCTCTCCCCCTCTCTCATACCCCCTTTCCTGTCAGCGTACTGTCGAAAAAAATGAACCACTAGTGCCGGAAAAACTCAAAAGATGAAATTTTAGAGCACAAAACTGAAACCTAAGCTGTTTGAAACTGAAATGCGGCAAAAACTTCCACTATAATCTATTATAAAATAACAGTGAAATAAGTTAGAAAGTCAATATGGGAACAAAATCCAACTCAACGACTGCTATTGAAATCCACATCCTTTTGGTTTTTTCTAAGCACAGAAACTTAACCAAAGGCCTATTTTCTAAAAATACAAAATAAAAGACATTAAATATGATAAAACCCATTAACTCACCGGAAACCAACTATTCATTGCTGTGTTAAATGCCAAGGGGAAAAAAATTGTCTTCAAAATGTGTGACATGCAAAAAAAAAAAAAAGTTGCAAAGGTTTGCATGAAGTAACTTAATGTTTCTTCTGTCAGGTGTTCGAGGAGTTGGAAGAAATTGGGAAAACAATTCAAGAGGATGTTTTAGATGCCGGCATGTCTGTTCATGGAGAAACTGGTGGAGACATTAGCAAATGTCCCTACTATGCTGCCAAAATGGGTAAGTAAGAAACATGTTTTAAAACCTAAATGCTTGAGGATTGTTCGCTTCCTAAACTTGGTTATCTGTCTGTTTCACATCAAAGCGGCATCGGGGGGAACGGCGTACTTCGGTCAGCTGTTCATGGCTGCTCTAAGGCACCCGACAGGACAGGTCCTGTTTGCCACATGGTTCGCCGCCTTGGCTGGACTGGCTGCATGGTATCTGATGTGATCCAGCTGTTACAGCTGCTGTTAGAACTGAGGGGTGTTGAAAGGAAGGAGTGTCAGAAGACTGGAAAACCTCCACTAACCGATCAATATACAAACATTCAAATCAGGTCTGTGCAGCTCTATATTTTTAAGCTTCAGCTTTTAGTTGCAGAACTTCAGCCGTCTATTCTTTAGGAACATTATGATATGGACTTCCTCCACAATGCACACATTTTTCCTTTTTAAATCTAAATACTTTTTGTTTTTTATTATTTCTCTACCTCCAACAGGCTATCCTTCCATTTGGTGCTGAAGTTCCAGTTATGTTAAAGCTTTTCTTACACAGAAACAGACCTTCTGTTATAACGTATACCTTAAAGTATGATAGCAAAATGCAATATTGTAACAAGAAAACGGTTAATCCTTCCAGTTGACAGTAAAAAGCTCGCTGTAGGATGTGAGCTTTAAATCCATCAGAACAATGTGAAACACTGAAATACGCAAAAGTATTTCATTATTGTCTCCAAAAATAGAATTCATGTTTTGATTTTTTTGGTGATAAACCAACACAAAACTTCTTTTTACTTCATGTGAAAATTTTTAAAACATGCTGTGAATTTATCCAGCCCCTCAATACTCTGCCGAACTAATTCTTGTTGTAGTTTTACTGACAAGTTTTTTTTCTTCTAATTTTCATATTCTGTTTCAATGAGGTCTAACTTTTATTCTGCTTCAAAATTATGAGCTGAATTGTGTTGCTTTATCTCCAAAAATACCTAAAAGATGTATTATTGCCTTTTGAAGCCACATTATATATTGTACCTTATGCAGAAATTGCACTTAATATCTGGACATTTAGTGTTCAGGATTTATTTTGGTAACGTAAAACTATTCCATATTTTTACATGGGACAAAACTGAAATCTAAGTTGGCCATTTTTCTTATAATAAATATTTGTTTTTTTAAATTAAGCAGGTAAGTGAAACAATTTCAATTTACAATAAAAAAAACCTAGTCTCTTTATTCAAGTGCATAATATCTAATTATCTTATTGTAAGGGTACAAATTCTGTTCCATTGAAAGATCATCTAATTTACCTGCTCAAATTAAGGGTAAATAGACTTATTTTAAGGCATTTTCACACATTTTTTGAATCGTCTTTGCAGTATAACTAATCATCAAGTCAAGTTCATTTTGCAGTTTTTTTTTTCTTTAGTCCACTGGACTTTTCTTCCAATTCCAGATAAGAAAGCAAACCCTTACACCCTCCAATAACATTGTTAATTTTTTCAGCTAATATACTCGATGTATGTATTTATGCGAGTGGTGTGGGTGAGCAGAAACCGAGGTCTTGTGTGTTTGACGTTGCATTAGTTCATAAGATAATTACTTAGACAGCCCCCCCCCTCTAAAAATATTTGATAAAGCTGTAAATGACAGCATGATGGTCCATTAGCTAATGAGTCCAGGGTGATCAGGGATGAACTGGTGAAGCAAACATAATGTATACAGCAGGTGAAGCCCTAATGAGGCATGGTTTAAGTTGATACGCATCCTAATACTGTTTTTTTATTTTATTTTTTTTTTATTTCCCTGAATAAAATCTGAAAATAGTCACATTTAATTTTATTCTGTATTGCACTTAAATGTTTCCGAGAAAGTTGCATGTTTGGACTCTGTTACAGTTCAACCAAAAACAGTAGATAATTGACATTTCCATTCCCTCAGTGGTAAAATACAAACCACTACGCTCTATTGTAGTGCATGACCGACTAAAAATACTGTTTTTAGCTAATTGCATGATTTGATTGCCTAAAGTAAATGTGTCATTGCTTACCGGCAATAGGAGCTCTCATTTGGATAAACATGAGTGTTTTGTTTAATGAGCTGCTAATGTAATAATTCTCTACCAGCCCAGCTCATCTCTTTATCCATTTCTGTGGATATGCTTTTAAAATTATTTCCACAATTTTCTGTGAGAAGCTTTCCATTACGTGTCACCTAAACTTTGTTCATTGTTGAGTAGAACCTTTTGAAGGAGTTGTATTATTGATTACCCAAAGACTTGTACTGTTAGTGAAATGTTTGCCTGGTGCATTTGCACGATGCGTTTACTGACACGCAGAGGGATGTGTGGTGTTTCTAGGCTGAAGCAGCTGCCTGGTTAGAAACATGCCAACGGGGAAATGATGGTGGAACGTCTCAGGTTTAGCACAATGAATTGCATCTGGTGAGGAAAAACACAGGAACTGCTTGAAATGCTGTTTTAAGTCCATGTTTTATTGCTTTCATATGGTTGAAGTGTGCATCAGTATGATAGGACCTACTGAAGGGACACCATCTGCAGCCATATGTGAAAATGTCTGACCAATGCGTGCTAATTTGTAATTCCTTTAGCTTTATTTACTCTGATCCTAATTCCTTTGTATCCAGTTAGAGCTTTGTGACTAGCTAGAGCACTTTCATTGTATGAGTGAATACAAAGAGTTTTATTGTGTTGTCATTAACAAAATAAAAACTGATTTCCTCTTATTTGTCATTTCTTTTTTAGTTGTTTCTTAAAGCAGGCATTCTCAAATATTTCAGTCTCTGAAAATAAAATGTAACATTCTGTTGAACCCCTAGAAATAAATATTTATTCTTCATGCTATATTTATTTATTCAGATAAATTGTGTAATAAAAAAATGAAATTTATCATTGTTTAATGGGAGATTTCATTATTGTCCATTTTATAACTCAATGGTGTATATTTAAAGTTGGAATCACATATTGCATAAATAAATGTTAAATCATGGGACACGGATCGCATCTCGTAAAAATAAAAAAATAAAATCCCCTGACTCCCGTTTTGGGAACCCCCGTCTAGTTTTCTCATACATGAAGCTGTAGGAAACATTTTCCTTCAGGAATGATTTCCAGAGCTGGATTTTTGTTTTTGGGATCCATCTTCTAAATGCTCGTTGCATCCTCTACAGCAGTTTGTCACATACTTTGAACAAAACTTGCCACCATTTTTCAGAGGCTAGATATTAAAATCTGAATTTATTCCAATGTACAGATTTGGATCTCTAAAGACCCTGCAGGAGGAAAGGGCCTCTTGGCTGCTGCTGACTGATACTCCTTAAACAGCCTTGTCTATGCAGTTTTTTTTAGTTGCAATCTCTATTTTTTAGATTGTTTGAAGCTTAAAACTTTAATTAGGTGGTCCAACCTAACCGCCATTTGGGGCCTAAGTTGAAAACAGTTTTTCTAGTTTTAAATATTTTTGAAATCCATGTATCATTTTCCTTCCACTTTATTTTATCATATAACTCATTAACGTGTTAGTGATTGGTTGCAGTGCCCAAAGCATAACTAGTATAAAAAGGATAATTATATCATTAAACCCTTGATTTTCATTCTATCCTGAAATAATGTATTTAAATTGTTTAAATGGTTCTAGGATGATTGCAATTAGTACATTATTGAAATAATCAACTGTGACTTGTAAAGTGCATCGAGATGACATGTTGTTTATGGCGCTATATAAGTAAACTGAATTGAATTAAACTAATTTAATAATCGATTAATCGTTAACTGGACTGTAAAGCATGCTCACAGAGAGCCCCACTTTGAGCAGCAATTATACCAAATTGTAAAAAAAAAAAATTTTTTTACTATTTTGCATTTGAGCTAGAAATAATTTTCGTCTGTCAATATGCTTTAACCAGAACTCCTCAAGTGGAAAAGTTTTAGTTTCATCTGGTTTAATTTCATAAAAAGCCTTCTTGCTATCTGATTAATCAAAAAAAAAATAATCAACAGATTTATCGACTTGCCAAATAAACATTAGTTGCAGCGCTAACTCCTTTTACATAAAAAAAATCTAAAATCTCACGGCTTTAGGTAAAATCTATTTTTTAAACCGGTCCATATGTTGAGTAAACTTGTACAGAATATACTATCCATATGATACCTGGTGGGATACTTGGTTTACTATTTTTACATAAACTTTATTACAGTTGAAACAAAAGTATTCAATTGACAATTAGAGTTCAGGAAAGCTACAGTGTTTAAGTAGATAAATGTCAAATCCCCCATTGTCAGACTAACAATAAACTTCATGAAAAGATGTAATGTGACTTTCTCATTTTAAGACTGAGAGCTGACAGATGAAATGTAAAATAAAAAAAGGCCCACTCACTGTAGTGAATTAGCTGGATTTAATCCTAAATAGACTCTTTTCACTACAGTAATTTATTATCTGCTTATAGATTTATAGTAACACACAGATGACCAGCATGCACTGAGTGCTACAACAAGTCTCTGCAGCCGCCTGTGGTGATCGGCAGACCGTCACATCCTCCAATCCAGGGATCCACTTTAACAGGGAAACATAGGAGGCGATCTTTTAGATTTTTCAGTGCAGGGTTGGGTAGAAAGCTTCTGTCTGAAAATAAACCCAACGTTCCAAGTCTCTCAGTCTTTAACCACTGCTTCTTATGATCCGGTCCTTGTTTTGCACGCTATCTTTTCTTATTTGGACTTAATTCCAGGAGGATCTTTTACCTTGGGGGGAAGAAAAAAAAAGAAAATTTCTGCTTTATAAATAGGACAAAAGGAAGCTTTTATTAAGCTGGAAGAATTATTTAATCTAAAAACACACAGGTGTCTATGACAGCCACAAACCAGATGACTAAAGAGTGCAGAGTTTTTCTACTACAGCACACACAGACTGATCTGGAGCACAAAAAGCCATACCTGGTTTGTGGCTGTCAGGAAGAGCTAAACAATTTCTTTAACTTTGAGAGGAAGCCCTCCTGTGTGCTTTCCCCTGCCTTAGACTGCTCACCACTGCTGCCCCCACCTGGACAGATATTAACACTGCAGCTATTAACACTGCGGTTAAGAAATTCCCATTTTTAACAAATCTGGGAGGTCTGATGCAAAGAAACAGGAGTTTTGGTAATTAATGGAGGAAAGAAAAGAAGCATGTTAGAGTGAGCAGATTCTCATACCTGTGCTGGTGTTTGTGACTCCATTCACCGTTCCTTCTACATCCGTCTCATCCTCAGCGTAGCTCATTAAAAGAGATTTCTGTCTATCTGTCAAAGTCCTACAATAGAAAACATTTTATAGGAATTTAAATATTAGAAATTATTATTTTTGTCATTGTTCGTGAGCTTAGTAGAGAGAGAAAGATATCTGTGGCTAGGTTCTTACTTTGGTATTTTTACTTTGACATGGACATAATGGTCTCCAAAGCCATACCCGCTGACGCGAGCAATACCTTTTCCTGACAGACGGATCCTATGGTCAGTCTGGACCCCTGCAGGAATCTAGGGAGAAGAAAAAAAATATATATATATATTTGTTTTTACTATCTTAAAGAGACTGAATTCTTCTTATTTACTCAGATTAAGTCTCTCTATACTTACAGACAAATTGAGTGTTTCATAAAGTCCTTGCGTTCTGGCTGTTCCTCCTAAAATAGCTTGTGCAACAGAGACGTGCAGATCTGAATGGATGTCTGCACCTTCCCTCCTAAAGACTGGACTCTTTTGGACCTAGACAAAATAAATATGTATTATATCAAAGAGTCAAAATGTCATGATGCAAAACACTTTATACTGTTAGTTGATGCAAAATCTCAAGCCTTAAGTTCTGCAGCAAATACCAACCCGAAATGTGATGAAGATTTCCTTCTTTCCAACTGGCATCCTGACCGTCTGACCATCCTCCACTCCTGATATTCAACAAAATACAAACTAGTGTTTAGTTTGGATTCAAAAAGGTAATCAATATGAGTCTTGAATGTAGAAATTTAACAATCTTAAAATTAACTGGTTCCTTCACCCAGTTAGAGGCCTTCCAACAGTATTTGTGCCATACTTTATGTGACAGACTGACAAAATAGTGCATGGCTGGATTGGCATTTGCTATGTGTGCATGATTGACACATCACTTGAGATGGTAGCTGCCCACTGGTTCCCTGTCTTAACCTTCATAGATAAGAAACCTGCTCAGCATTGATAAAAGGTGAACATTGAGGTAAATCCAGGAGGAAACCCTTTGAGAGGCTGCTAAGGATCTGAGAATGGGTTGGAGGGTCAGCTTTCAGCTAGGAAAAAAAAAAAAAAACCTGGACTCAGGAGTTGGACTGGCCCTGGTAAGGACAGAACTAAACTCATGATTTGTGGCGAATTAACCGACTGGGTTCATATTTAACTTCAGTGTAACATCATCTTTCTGCACCTTCACAGTAAAGCATTATTCTGTGGTGGTCCTTTTATAAAAAAAAAAAAGTCTGACCAAGACCAATAAAACATACAAGAATCATGATTCAATAACTCAATATGACTCAAAACTAAAGCAGTCATCTCTAAAATGCTGCTGCAGCAGTATTCTGCAGTACGCAATGTCCCAACATACTTTTCAATATTAAAGCAGGTAGAATATTTTCTGTTGTAAGGATTTTCACTGCAATCTATGAGAGGGAAGAAATGGAAACCGATTGATTAGGAGTGTTACCAACCTGCAGGGACAGGAACGACCACAGTCTTCCTCTGTTTGGTTTGTCCAGATCCACGGCAGGAGTTACAGGGAGTCGAAATCACTTTGCCTTTCCCCCCACAGCGGCGGCATGTAGAACGCATCACAAATGGACCAGTATTTATTGTTTCCTATGGGTGGGACATGTGTTTAAAGGAATATGATCTAAAACCACAAAGAAAATATGAATTTCATGTTAGCAGTTCTTACCATGCCTGAGCCGTTACAATGGTTGCAGTGCTGAATCTTAGTCCCTGGCTCATGACCCTTCCCATCACAGCGCTGGCAGGTCGTTTCTATGTTAACAGATATCTCTTTATTTACTCCCTTTGCTGCTTGAGTGAACGTCAGCTCCATGACGTACTAAACAGAAAACAAAGAGAACCTCAGGATATGTGCTAAAAGCCAAACAGCAGCTCATTTCAGCAGAACCGGTGCTACGTGGCTTACTGTACATCCCACTTACCTCCTGTGGTTGATCAAATATGGCATTGAAGTCCCCAAAACCACGGCCTCCAGAGAATTCTCCAAAGATTTTGCGGAACAGCTCCTCTGGGTCCACATGGCTGGTCTGTCCGCTCCAGTACTGCTGCCCTCCTCCAGCCTGCCCCGCCTCGAAGCCAGCCGTACCATACGTGTCATACTGCTTCCTCTTTACCTCATCACTAAGCACCTGTGAAGACAAAATTATTCACTTGTTAAAAATAAATACATTTCATATGTGTCTCTCTCAAGTAAAACTAATTTACAATGTATGTTAAAAGTTTATATAAAGACGTGGGGCAAACCTCATAAGCTTCGGCCAACTGTGCAAATTTTTCTTTTGCTTGTGGGTCATCTTTGTTTGTGTCCGGGTGGTACTTTTTGGCCATCTGTCGAAATAAAACATGAACTTCTTTGTAATTTTAGGTTACATTCTGGTTAATCCATGCCTAGATTAGAACCACGATTGTTTGCCACTTGAATAACACATTGATAATATTCTAGATGCTGCAGAATCCTGCACTTCAAGCAGACACAAACCTGGTAGTAGGCTTTCTTTATCTCTTTTTGGGATGCGGTACGAGGAACTCCAAGGACCTGATAGAAATCCTGCTTGTTGCAAGAGGCGCTGGTGTGGAAGGTCTGCATGTAGAGAGCATGGGGCAACTTTAGATCTGAAAGATGCCCAGAAAGGCAAGAAGGTCAGTAAATAATATGAAGCATTGTAAAGTTTCACTGCTCTTAGCTCTGCTCTGTTCTGATTTAGATAAGCTCAAATGGGAAAAAAATGCCAAAATTTAAGACCTACAGGAGGACATAAATATTCATTTTGCACCAACAATTTGTTTTGCTTTGTTTTTAATATTAATAACATATGCAAATCATAACCAAATAAATTGAATAGGACACTGTGATTATTTTTTATTGAAATCAACAATGGTCTGACAGCTGACACAGCAGTAACAACACTCTTATTAAAATTTAAAAAAAGCTTGCAGTGTTACAGGGTCTGACAAAACTGTAAAAACTACATTGCTTCAACTTATTTAGCCAGCAATCCAAATAAAATCAAAGCATATCCTGCAAATGGTAATTTTGTTAAATAGTTGCGTCCTTGCTAAAATCAATACTAATGACTGCAAAAGTTAGCAAGACCGATTACATCATAACTGATCAACTATTTAGACGTTGTTCAATCTAGATCTATAGAAGTTAAAACGTTCATAAGAGTCATAACTCTCATTAGTTTACGGTAATTCAACGGTCATACTATCTGTCACTTGATGAAAATAATAATCTCATGGTTAATAGTAGTAGCTTAGCCTAGCTTAGCTAAAGTAGTTCTCACCTGACAGTCCTCTCAATGTCAATGCTTGTCCTGCTCCTCCGAACCACAAGCTGCCTTTGCGACACAGCTTTTCAGCTCCGATAGTAGAAAAACGCCGGACACCTCCATGGTGAGGGGACAAAAAGAGACCGGTAGCTCTTCTAGAACCAGAAGACACGACAACTGTTATCCAGCGTGAGGAGCAGCTAGCGGCCGAGGACGCCATCATGCCGACAGTGAGGTCTGGGTATTGCGCATGCGCGGAGAAAACTGGAAGAGAAAAGTTAATAGAAATGTACAAGAATATTTTTGTATTTACTTTTTTATACATTTTGGGTAATCTATCACTGTTTCTAAAATATAAAAATGGTAAGTAAAATTAATGCAAACGTTTTACCTACTTGCTGCGCACGGAAGTATCGCGTAGTTAAACCGTCTGATTTACCGCCATATTGTGAGTGGCATTCTGCCACTTGCAGACAGCTGTGAAAGCCTGTTCCGTTCCTGGATCAATCTGTAATACTGTAGTTGATCTGTCATTATCGGAGATGGTTAATATCTATTAAACGTTCTCAGTTACATGGATTTACATTTTTCATACATTAACAATGACTTGACCACAAATACAATGTGGTTAATTATGCACATCAATATACAAACATTAAAGATAATAAGTACATAATTCCTGCTCTTTTCAGAACTAAACTTTGTGTTTTACGGGGTAAAGAAGAAATTATGTATTTCTGCAAGTCATCTAGGAGTCTTCAGTTAAATCATAGATAAATAACTACTTTAATAAAAGCTAATTTAATAATCAATTCTTGTAGATATTAGTACTTGTAAATGTCAATTTTATGCAGAAAGATTATTGATAAAAGTAGGTAAGTAATTCCAATGGAGAAGATGTTCACCCCAGTACTCAAACCTGAAAGGATTGTATCCACTATACCTCAGGGGCAGAGCTAGATGGTGGAACAGGGGTGGCCATGGCCACCCTTAGCCAATCATTGGCCATCCCTGTGACCCTACCATTTATTTCCCTCTAATACAGATGGTGGCAACAGTAATACTTTAATTTTTCAAATATTAACTACAAAAACAATAAAAACACTGTGGTTAAATATGCACATTAATATATTAACATTAAAGATGATAAATAAAGAATTCAAGCAGAGATAGATTTTGTGTTTTATAGGGTAAAGAGAAAAGTCGTCTAGGAGTCTTCAGTGAAATAATAGATACATAACTATTTTAATAAAAACGTATTAAATAATCAATTTATGTAGCTATTTGTAATTGTAAATATCAATTTTATGTGGAATGATTACTGATTAAAGTAGGTAAGTGATGACAATGGAAATGATGTTTCAAACCTGAAACAATTTTATCCATTATACCTTTTATCTAGAAAGCACAGATGTTTGCATATATTCGTCTATTTGTAAGCAAAGATTGTACATATAGTTTGTCTTTACTTAGAAAATCTGGATTTTCCTGTCGTGTGTAGATTGACCCCGGAGGTTCTGGTCACCCTAATTAACATTTCCTGACCAATCGCGGACGCGAAGACTTCAAACTTTCCTACAGGGGAAAAGCAGCCAATGAGGAGTCTGCTTTCTTGAACGGAAGAAACGAAACGAAGACCCCGCCCTGTCGTTTGGCTCCGCCGGTAGAGCAAATCGAACGCACACCGCACGGCGGGCTGGAGCTGTCAGCTGTAGCAGCAGCAGCACTCTCAGCAGTACCAACCAGCTCGACAGAGACACCCGGAAGGCACGAAAGTCAATTTGGGAGCGCAGCATGAATCGTTTTAAGACCTCCAAATTCAAAAACACGACACCGAAGGTTTCCAAGAAAGATGTAAGTAGAGAAGCAACCTCTGAGTAGAAACATTTCTCCTGGCTAAGACTAAATAGCTGAGCTGCTTTTGGGGAGGAACGTCTGTCTGGTCTGCCTGCAAGGGATGTTGAACTTCCTGCATCAGGGAGCCTATGCCGGAGTGAAAATATCAGAATGCACTTGCTAGTTATGCAAATTAATAACTATTGTTCGGCGCTGTGATTGATTTTACCACCTAGCGTTTATCAAACGTTGCATTCAAACCCATTTTTTATAATGTTCTCATTGAATTTGCAGCTCATTTTGAGATCGGCTGAGATTTCTCTGACTACGGGCAAAGGATGCTTAATTCAAGACTCCTCATGTCTGGACCAGAATTCATGTGTCTTGCATACAAACATGAACTCTTTAGTTCCAGGTTAGAAGGTTGCAGTAACCCTTTATGGAGCATTTTATTCCATCTGCTGCTTTCACACATATAAATAAAAGCCTGGCATCATCAGACACACAGCCACAGTCAGTGGATGCTTCCCAGGTTCTACACAGGCAGCAGGTGGTGTCGTTCCTGTAGGCATATATTGATTTCTTATTATTTCAAACACTGTGTTTCCTGGACGGCGACGCCTTTTACTGCTTTTCTGTCTCTGCTTCTGTCTCTTTTAACGCCAGTCGGCCTTGGCAGATGGCCGCTCACACTGATCCTGGTTCTGCTGGAGGTTTCTTCCTGTTAAAAGGGAGTTTTTCCTCTCCACTGTCGCTACCAGCATGCTTAGTGTGAGGGATTGCATTCCAGTCAATGAGTCTGGGCTGGTTTTCCTTAGATAGAAAACGTTGAATCTATTTGACTGTATGATCTGGTGAACTGTAAAGTGCCTTGAGATGACATGTGTTGTGAATTGGCGCTATATAAATAAATTGAATTGAATTGCACTAAATTGAAATATAGGACAGGAGAGGTAGAGTATAGGGAGACTGTCATAGGGGAGGGGAAGATGCCAAAAAAAGAGGAGTGGGTGTTGCGTGATGGAATATTCATGGAGAAATTTACCAGCTTTTCTTTGGGGGAAGCAGGCGTTCTCTTGCAACATGCTCTCTACCGTCAGGCCAGTTTCTAATCATGGACACAGATCTGCATTACATTGTTAAAATGCATTTAGTGTTTTTGTTTTGTGTATCATATGCAGTGTTGCTCAGATCTATGCATGCTCCCTGATCAAATTGGGACATGCCATTTGCATGCATGTCAGTGGTTCTGCTGGTTTTTGTCATTTGTGGAGCTCAGCAGCAGTAGTTGTTGGAGCATGTTGTAAGCACATGGTGCTCTTGTCATGTCAATGTTATGCAAGACCTTTCTCTGCTGTGCTGTTAAAGAAGCGCTTCTATTTCCTCAGCTTTTGCTCACTTTAAAAACTCTAAATGTGTGCACACTCAGCTAGATCCTTCCTGTTTATTACTCGGTTCTTTTTCTTTAAGGGTTGTTGCACTAACTTGGTCACATGCTCTCCTTCCTGTCATAAAGCATGCTGTTGTTATTTTATTTTTTTACTATTATGGCCTTTTTTCTTTTTTTTTCTAGGGATGGATCAACAATGTCCATGCTGGCTCCTTCTCCTGCCAAGGGAACCACATCAAAGCAAGCTCCAAGCTGGTGGCTTTCAACACTGATCAGGCTGGTATGGCTTTAAATATGTGCCTAAATAGAAGCAATTTAATTAGATCAGGCATCTGCAACTGTTGCAATAGAAACAGACATTTTGCCTTTATTTTCTGTTAAAAAGAAAAATGAAAAGCTGCTCTATTATGAATTATATTTGATGAAACACTAAAGTCAGAACAGGACAGTCTGTGTCTTTTCAACATAAAAAAAAAAAATAATTAATTAAGGATAGATCTACAGAGTGATAAAAGCTATGATGTCAGCCAAAAAATGTTCACATCCCTTAATGTTGCTTACATTTTGTCAATTTAGATCCAGAACAATTCATTGTATTTATCAATAAATTTGGAAAGAGTAACAGATGGAAATTCATAACTGGGAAATAGAAGCAAATGAATACTTATTTTTTCAAAATATTTTTATTTTTGTCAATCTGAAAAGGAAGGAAGACATTTTTTGTCTTTATTCTTATACCTATAAATAAAAAAACAAAACAAAAACCGTCCTTTTCAATCTGCTGCAGAAATGTAACGCACATATTTTATAAAACTAATTAAACTAACCCTCCCATATTGTTGTTTAGGATTTAATGAGTATGGTCTCTGCCAGCTTTGATATGTGTTTTGCCTTTAGGTGGTGGGATGGTGGGCCTGACCTCAGTTGACCCTGCAGATGGCCAATGGACTGTCACCCAGATATCCTGCCATTCTGGTACTTTGTTCATCATCCTTTTTTAAATGATATCTTAATAAAAATATGTGAATGTGTTGTTATTATTTAGGGTGTTCATTTATAAACAATTTGGTAAATATATTTGTTGAGTTATTAGGATCTTTAGACACATGAAAAACACATTTTGTTGAGAAAGTAAAGGTGCAGTACGTCTGACGTCCTGTGCAGCTTATGTTCACTGGGTTAAGAAAATTTAGCTTTTTCTAATATGAATAATTAATAGATAAATGCAGCAAGAAATAACGCTTGACAGATATGAGCCATAACAGCTTTTTAACCCTTTTTTCCCCTCCTCCATCAGATCTGGTGACTGATATGGACTTTTCCCCCTTTGATGACAGTCTTCTGGCTACTTGCTCTGGAGATGGAACAGTAAGATCTGCAATGTCCTACTTTCTGCCCTACTTTGTTATATTATCTGTCATTATACTAATAAGTATTCATTTTATTTATCTTTCCACCAAACTTTAAATTGCTGGTAGTTTTTTTTAATGCAACAATAAAACCCTTTTTTTTTTGTCCATTAAAACCTTGGAAAAACTCCCTACTGCTTTATTTTATTTCAAGCCATATATGCCCTAGTTCTCAAAAAGTACTCAGTTTGGATCTGAAACTTTAAAATCACCTGCCCAGTTTACCGTAGCCAGCTTTTTCCCCTCTCAGACCCACACAAACAATCACTCCATTCCAAACTTTTGCTTTTTTTAATTGTATGCTAATGGCTCTACCCTAATCTGGTTTTGCAGTGCCAGGTAAATGACCTGACACACCATTCAGGTCTGCTTTGGGAAAATTAAAACTATTCTATAGTCTGCATAATGTTTAGTTGATCAAGGCAAGTTTAGAAAACATCTTTTGAAGATTGTCCCCTCTTCACTATTAGGTTTTCCCCTGCAGCTTTCTTAGAGCTAAACCCTGCTGTGTTATGCTGCACATGGTGAGGGTTTCACACTGTCTGCAGAATTAGCCCAAAAATCATGACTGGTGCCATTTCCAACAGTAATTTTGCTCTTGCACAGCCCT